TAGCAACATCAGCGCACGAATGCGCATGACCATCTTAATGATCGTTCGTTATGCGAGTTTCATATTTTTTGTTTAAACATCTGCGTTCTATTTTTAGATTTGGTTTTTTATTTAAATATCTACGTTCCATTTTTCGAAGTGTTTCGTCGGAATTTTTTGTCTACCTGAAGAAGAGCTAGTTGAAAAGCTCGAAAACGTTTGTGGAAAGAAGATTTTTTCACGCAAATTACACCGGTAACAGGTTCAGTATTTAGTATTTCATCCCCGGTGTCAGAGTGAAGTTTAATTTACAGTGCCTGAGACACTGCTTCCACTGTTCATAGCAGTGCTGGAATGCAGAAAGCAGAATGGCCTTCAACTGGTTGGTTACAGCCTGTTTTATGTTTTCCATCATGCCAAAATGATTCCCTTTGAGGTATTGTTTCAGTCTGGAGAAGAGAAAGTAGTCGCATAGACTCATGTAAGGTGAATATAGGGCTGAGGGACAACAGGAATATTTTTTGTGTCGAAAACTCTGCAACAAGGTACATTATCATGATGCAGCATCCAGGTCTCTTTGATGTTTGGCCTCACATAAGCAACACATTTTCGTAGTCTTTCAAGAACCTCACAGTAAAAATTCGTGCCTCAAGGAAAAACTGTCCTTGAAACACAAATTCGTTATGGACAATTCCATTGCTGTCAAAGAAGCATGAGCATGAGTTTGATCTTTGACTTGCTCATCCTTGCTTTTTTCAGCCATGGGGAGCAAAATACAAAAAAATGAGCAGTGTGCCATTCCTCATTTTGGTGTTTTGTTTCTGGATTGTACTCAAAGATCCATGTTTCATCATCCGTAATGATGTTTGTGAGGAACATTATTCATAACTATGTTGGCTCATTTTCAGAATGCACAATAAAATACAGGTATACCTCGAGTTACATCATTCTCAATTATACGTCGTTTGTCGAAAAATATATGGAAAAATAACAATCAAGTTTAAGTCATTTTATTTGACTTTACGTCTGTCCGCCACAAATATTGAAGTCTTAATATCACTAGAAAAGCATTAAAGCACATAAAATCATATTAAAATATATCATCTTATTTTATAATGTCTTAGAGCAAACCACATTCACAAAATAGAGTCTGCGATGTACTGTAAATATTGCCAAATTGTAAACTTGTACTGTACATTTACATGTATGTACTGTATGTACATGAATTTGTAAATTTAGATTACTTTTTTTCTGTACTATATTAAAAACTAAAATTTATTTGTTTGTAAGCTTAAGTTTAATAATATATGGTAATCCTGATATCAACATTTAAGAAATGGACATTAGTGTCGCTGTGTTGATCCACTTCGAGTGACAGCCCATATGGATTATCATTCATCACTTCAACAAATCGTGTCAAGCTTGGTGTTGTTTTCTGTACAATAATAACGTCATCTACGTATCTTCTGTATAGCATGATGTCCTGCAAGAATCTCGGAAGGATCCTAGACTCGAGTTGTCTCACCACTAACTCACACAAGTCTCCGGGCATCGGACTGCCCATCAGGACCCCTCTCGATTGTGAATATGTTACCCCGTTGAATTGAAACACAGAACTATAACAAATTAGGTAAGCCAATTCCAATTTTGGTGGAGTGCTGTGTCGTTTACTCGCGCAAATAGGAAGTCTCTAAGAGTACAAAAACATGCTGGTATCTTAACAGAAGGGTATAATGATTTAAAATCCAAAATCGTGATGCAGTCCGGGGAGGTGATCAATTTCAACTGATTGATTAATTCAACAGGATTAGAGATGGTAAATGGGTAGCCACTTAAATGCGGCATAAGTATGTTATGGATCAATTTCTCCAATTTATGAGTAGTGCCTTGGCCTTATCTACAACCGGTCTAAACTGTTGGCCTTCTTTGTGCATTTTTGCGAACGCAAATAACTTAGGAACATCCAGGTTTTCCATTGTATTGCCCCTCAGGTCTAGTTTCTTGGCCAACTTCGTAGCAGATAAGCGTTTAACCAGTGAATGTAATTTCTCTATCCAATTATTTTCTACTTCATTGCTTTGCATAACGTTGACGTATTCCCACAGCCCTCTCTCATATGTTTCCCTTTTCATGAACACTAGGTTCTTGGCTTTATCTGCCCTTATTATCGTAACCATGTTTAAACGTTTCTTTGTGAAGGTGTTCAGAAAACATTTATGCTTTAGAGTTTTACCGTTTCACATCGATTACAGGCTTAAGTAAGTGGAATTTTATTGTTGTTAATTTTGTAACATTGCTTGGCATGGAACGTTCTTGCAGTTTATAACAATAATAATAAATGTTTTATTAATAATAACAATTATTATTGATTAAGGTGCTATACATACATTATTATTATTATTAGCTAAATAAAACAAATGAAGTAATACAATAAAAAAAATTATAATTCAACAGCCATTTTCATTTTTGATATTTAAGTTTCCATTTTTCCGTTTCAATCATCTTATATTTATAATGAACTAAAAATGAAAATAAAACAATCATTCTAATATATCAAAAAGCACCTTCTAAACTAAATATTGTGTCAAGCTTTCAAAGACAACTTCAGAGATGTGAGATATACAGTAATACAGATTACTATATTGACTTATTTGATTTGTATTTCTGAAACTTAGAAGCTTGACAGTGTTAGACATTTTCCATTCCTTCATTAAATCTATGATGTACATATTAAATAGTCTTTTTGATATTTTATTTATAATTTAATAATAATTCAATTTAGTTTTAACATTTTAATTTAAGCAATAACTGGACATAAAAAGATTTACCATATTCTCATAACTTAACTTTGGTATTGTTATTTATAGACATTAAAAATCTACATGCAGTACACACTTAACAAAACATTGCTGACACAACATAAGCTGATATAACTAGAATGTCAGACACATTTTTGATGTGTTTTAAGGGGTTTAATTCCACATATTTTGCACACAATTTATATTCCAATATGCATTTTATGCCTTCAATAACAAACACCAGGAATGCATTTTGCACACAAACATACATATGTGGGTACACAATTTTAATTAAATTTGCATACAGAATTCCTGTCTTTAGTAATTTATAATATTACATTTATATCAAAAATCTGTTGTAGAGAAAGAACTTAACTAAATTTTAGGAATTAACTTGTTGCTAATTAAACTGCTAAAAGTCAAAAATATTTTAAATTTGTCAAGAAGTTTCTCAGATCATTTTGCCAAAATTATTTCTCAAAAACTATGCATTCCAGTAATTAACTTTCTGAAACTTTTATTTTGCCATAGAACCAATCTTGCAACAAAATATCTCACACTTAATTTGTAATAAGCATCACTGTCAATTTCCAGTTGCACAATAATTATCAATTTTAAGAAAATTTTAAATGATATCCAGTAGAATAAATTTATTTGCCATAATATATTTAAGCATTTAATCTTACAAAGGTAAAATTTGTTTGTGATGACAAAAGGTCACCATCCCATACTGTAGCAGACAAAAAATATAGTCCAATAAAAATCTAAATTTTACCTAATTTGCATAATTTGTTTTCAATATACATTTTGCATGTAAAATGTACTCACATTTTAAGAGGACAACATATTTCAGTGTTGCTGCCACTGACAATGAAATTGTTTACTAGATTTTAATTCTATTTTAAGCAGGGCTGCGGAGTCGGAGTCGTGGAGTTTTGGAGTTTTAGCCGGAGTCGGAGTCGGATGGTTAGGAAAAGTCGGAGTCGGAATTGGAGTCGGTAGATTTTTACGCTACTCTACAGCCCTGGCAGGGCTGTGGAGTCGGAGTCGTGAAGTTTTGGTGTTTTAGTCGGAGTCGGATTGGTAAGGAAAAGTCGGAGTTGATAGATTTTTACGTGACTCCACAGCCCTGATTTTAAGCTAAGTTGCACTAGAGAAATTTCCTAACATTCATTCTCTCCTCAATAACTTTGACAATTTTTTATTTTCTGAATTTAAATACTTATGTCTTCACTGGTGTTTTCTTTAGATAAGGTTACCAGATTTCTTGGATGCAAAAGCTGGAACAACATATACAATGTTGTATAACCAGTACAATGTACACTAACTCTGTTGTTTACAAATAATTTAAAATATGTAGCATATGTAATTAATAACACCTATAGGTGTATTTATTAACCACATTTTTATATTATGAAATAAATCACCTTATGACAACTAGTAAACTAACTTTTTTCATTTGACCTTGACTTGCCTGCAAGTTAGTCTATTCTGAAGTAGACAACAGACCAGAAGCATTCGGGATCAACACAAGTATGGATTTTTTGTAACAGATTCCTTCAGCAGTATCTTGTAAACTTCCTCACTGGATTTGTCATCAGAATTATTCTTAACCATCAGCATGCCTTTTAACATTTCAACTTTAAACTATGTTTTCTCAGTTGTCTACATAACATTAACTGCAAAAAGCACACTTTCACTTGCAGCATTGGTTTCTGCGAAACAAATAACTCAACAAGCTTTAAAACTTGTATGGAACAGGATTTGCTGTGGAATGTAAAAATATTTCTACCCATCAATCTGCAATAGTCACTTGCAAATCTTTTCTGTGGAAGCAAACTTGGAAATGTAAGTAATCTATCTCATCAAAGAACTCATTGTCATTGACAGCCAGATGTGGAAATTTGAATATGACTTGTGGTAGGCTTGTTTCAATGTTTTCCTAAAGGTTAAGTTCACACTGAGCATGATTTGCTGGTGAAAGTGAAAAACAGAGTGAATAAAATGTCAAACATGACGTTGTTTCTGGTGAATTTTACCATTTTGCAAATTACTTTGAAGTTCAGAACTGTCAAGCTTTTTCACTAGCAAAAATATTTTGCCACCAATCATATTCCCATTAGTTGTCACATGATTCTTCTTGTTTTCAAGATGGCTACAGAAACTTTCTCATGCAATAGAGTAAATGTTGTAATTCGTGGATTTTTAATATTCCTCTCATGCAGCATCGTTTTCTTTTTTACTTATCTTTCTTTCTCAATAAATAAACAAACATGGTTAACGATGGAATATCAGAAGCGGCCATTTTGTTTTTTGAGATGACATTTTCTCTCACTTGCAAATGATTGGCTGCTTAAAATTTGCAACAGCTTTTTGCATTTAGTTGCACAGTTCAATTTCGCTAGGCAAATAAAAATTGCTTTTTGCTTTTCTCATTCACTTTCGCTATTCACTCAGTGTGAACTAACCTTAAGTCAGTGTTTCTTTCAAACCCAGCAACCCAGCTGAAGTTATTTGTTTTCAAATTGTCCTCTTCTTTCTTGTAAATACTTAGCACAGTTATCATAAAATTTATCATCATCATCAATCAATCATCATATTATAGTAAAACCCTATTAAAATATTTTTGAAGGGACTGGCTTGGGAAAATGTCATAAATGGGAAACATCTTAGGGAGAAATGGCAGAAAAACTTTTTTAAATCCAGATACAGTAGAGCATTGATTATCCAAATACCGATCAATTGAAACATCGGTTAACCAAAAGCATTCCAGTCGGCAAATTCAAATTTCCACTAGCGCTGTGGTATTGCAACACTCTTCCCCTCCCTGTCAAACTGGAACTGTAGGCCTAGTTTAATGTATTACATTATGTAAGGCATGTACAGTATTTGTAAGACATGTCATACAAATTATATACAGTACAGTTTTGTGTTTAATATATCTTTTGTAAATGACCAGTTATCCGAAAAATCAGTTATCTGAACAACCCTAGTCCCAAATTGTTTTGGATAATCAATGCTTTACTGTAATTGATTACAGAATGAAATTTAGTAGCTACAAGTTTTTAAAAGTACTGATCTAGAGTGGCCTGCAAAATTCTAGGAAAAACATTGCATAATATTTGGGCCAATATGGTATACAAGAAAGTAGAGATACCAAATGGAGAGTGCCTATTTATACTGTTTTTAAAACAACCATTAGTCAACTGACTATTTTTTTTCTAACCAATCACAATAATAAATTTAATATTTTGAGAAGGAATAATTTTCAAATTCAAAACTGTTTACAGTTGAAATTTGTTAGTCACTCAAAAAAAAAAATTTCCAAACATTAAATTGATAGAAAAATCACTTAGAAATCATTTGACTGTTGATACTGGTATCAAACTTAACACATTTCAAATCATATGCCTCTGGGTCCTTATCTATACTAATATTATAAAGAGGTAATGTTTGTATGTATGTATGTTAGTTTGTATGCAGCAGGTAATCTCCGAAACTAATCATCCAATTTAAAAAATTCTTTTGCCAATATTTAGAATGGAACTTCAAGGTGGACATAGGCTGTATATTATTCCGTTAAACATGGGGGATGGACAGTTCTTTACGGTAAGCCTTACGGAGAAAGCTTACCGTAAAGAACTCTGCTTCTATTTATACTATTTTAAATGCGGTTTGTTGCGTTTTTGATTGCGTTTTAATAGAGTACTTCAGAATGTACACTAAGAACGAATTTTTTGATATTCCGCCAGCGGGGGAGAGGGACAGGATTAAGGCTTACTGTGAAAAACTTGGTTTCTATTATACTGTTTTAGATGCGGGTTTTTACGTTTCTGATTGCGTTTTAATAGAGTACGTCAACAGAATGTACACTAAGAAGGGATTTTTCGAAAAATTTTTCCTCACGGGGGAAGTGTTATACATTTATAATAGATACATTTTGAGCCACAACAAGGCGTGGCGGGGTCTGCTAGTCTTATAGTATAGTACTAGTGAAAAATAGAGACTGTTTTCTCTAAGCTTTCTTTTGCTGAACAAACTTTTGCTGAACAAAGACATTGGTATAATAAATCCTGTTAATAAAATACATCTGAGTAGACATTTTAAATACTATACTGTTAACAAATTTCATTTGTAATCTAAATTTTCAAAATTTCAAAGTTCATTAACACTGGGCTGTTAAACTAATTAAACTTCATAAATTTTAGCATTACCTTCTTACTTTAATGATATCAAAGATTAGCCACCCTTCTTTCAAAACTACAGGATCCCTGTTCATGCAGCTTCTGGAAACATTATTGGTCACCAACATGATTGTTTTAAGGGGTAAAAATTGCTTAATGGGACATATTTTGTAACATGTCATGTGATTTTATCAGGAAATTTTTAACAAATATCTTATGGGCAAATTGATAGGACCACAGAATTTGAACAATTTAAGATGTTCCTGCATATTTCCCTACCTAACATGATTTTACTGTATAATGTCATTTTTCAGGCCTCCGGCAAATATCAGGCTTGCCCATGCATTAAATATAAAATGTCCCTGCACACTATTTTCTGGACACACCTTTAGTTTCAAGTTTCTCATGCACAGGCTGCTCACCCAGCATGGAAATAAACTGTTCCTGGAAATCTGCTAACTATAGCTCATTACTTCATGGCACAGCATATACTTCAGCACACACCTCCACTATTATGCATAGCCTTCCGTAAATGTAAGTGTACATTATAGATGGACCGTCAGATGGCAATGAGGTCTATTTGTTGAGCTTGTTATCTTGTATCTTTATTCTCTGATTGAAAAATGGAACATTTAGGTATTCCAGCAGGACAAACAGGTAAAGCGGAATGTCTGGTCACACTACTGTAGATACTGTCAAAATTTCAGGAAATAAAATTTTTTAGAAAAAGAATTGCATAATAGGAATCCCCATCATGCAATTCTTTTTATGACTCAGAAATCCTGTTTCAGAGTTATACATTAAAATTTGAACAGAAAAACTGAAATAAATAATAAATAATAAATTTTATAATAAAACAAACACACAGTTTAATAGTTTATAAAAGAGCCTATTTTCATCAAAAAACATAATAGTAATCATAATCTGCACATGAATCTAGTAATCACCAAAATGCTCATGTCATTATTAGTCATAATGATATTTATTCTCTCTCCAAAAATAAAAATATATCATTTTTGTGACAATAACATATAACACAAATAAAAAGTTGATAGAATATAATCTGCCAATATTAAAAATAATTTCATTCTTTTAACAAAAGCATTAGCATATTTATTCATTAATTTTTTAACTTCTTTTAAATTAAGCAGTTTATCTGTAATTATATTTATTTTGAAATGATTTCAAAATTTTGAAATTATTACCTTAATGACTCACTAAAAACAGAGTACTTTAGTTATGAAAGAGAGAGAAATAAATAAATAAAAGAAAATGCTATTGGCAATCTGGCAATACAATAAAACAAATTTTCATTCTAAATCATCTGAATATATAAATTTTAGAAAAAATGTTTGTATTTAGATGTTGCTAGATAACTTCCATGCTGTTTTGAAATTTAAAAATATAGAATGCAAACTGAAAATATTTCTCAATAATCAAAGAACAATATTCTTCAATAATTGTTACTAGAAAAAAATTTGCTCATAAAATTTTATTTACAAACAAGATGTGATCATTTCTCATGAAAACTATAAAGATCAAATTACACAGTCTACATAAAATTTGAGCAAATTTCCCAGAATACTTCATTCCTTTATATTTCAAATACAGTTGTCCCTCTATAGTCCGACGTTTTTTAATCTGACATGTTCAGTAGTCTGACACACCTCCCGTCAAGGTACCTGTCCCCGTTACGTGTCTGCTTGCACAGAAGCATGTTGCAATGTGAATCTCCCCATCCAATTTTTACACGATGACACACATTTCGTGTGTTTTATGTGAGCAGTTCTGTTCGAACAGTTGGAGTAGAGAATATTGTAAGTTACTGCTAGCAAAACAATGCGAAATATGTAATTATTTTCGGTAATCCGGACACTTTTGGTAATCTGACACACCTTTGGTCCCATACCTGTCGGATTATCAAGGGACAACTGTATTAGTATTTTTCTAATCAAATGGAAATTTAAATCCCAAAAGCTGAAACAAATCAACAAATACACTACATGGTTTTACATACTACTTCCAGCACCAATGTTTAATTAATAAACATTAGGAAAAAAACAAATGTTTCTGACCACTTTGGGGGCCCTAGTCAGGATAAAAAAAAATTTTTTACATAAATTCAAACAAAGTTAGATTTGAAATGCAGAACAATCAACACTTTGATGACATAATATAAATTAAGAATTTTTTAAAAAATTTCTTTGTTGTTGGGATCACTAGCAATATTTCAATTTGATAATTCTTGTAAATTTCATAATCCTGCATCTGCAGGTGTATAAGAATGCTACCAGTAATTCAATGATCCAAAACAGGGTTTAATTATATTTAATTTGATTGATTACATACATTAATAGATACATTTTGAGCCAACTTACATTTTATGGCTCCTCATCAGTAACTGAAATTATTAAATGCTATAAGTACAAAATTAATTAAAAATAAAAAAATAATAATAATAATAAACATAATAGTAATATCTTACTTTGTATTGAATCAACCATTTCCTTAAATACAAAAGTACACAAACATAACATGGAATATATTTCACACTGATATATTAGACAAATTAATAAGAATTGACACTTTAGATTACAGATGGTTTATGCTATCATAAGAGAACATTACTCTTTAAAAGTTACTCTAAAGTGTAACCACCTTGTAGCCAACATATTTATACTCCCTAAAATATCCATAATCAAGAGATGAAGTCATACCACCTCTTGGTGATTTGTATTCCTTCACATGAGGAGAAATACAATCACCAAGAAGTAGTATGACATCATCTCATGACATAAATGACATAAAAATGAATTCCATAATATGACATATGCTATTTAATCTTAAGAAAACTGTATGTGATGAAAAAGATGATAGGATAACATCATGAAAAGCTGGAAGAGGCACAAAGAAAATAATATTACATTAATCAAGGCTGATAAAAATAGGAATGTTCTATTATTAAAGTGATCCATGTATGTTAAACTCTTGAAACACTGAATTGAGTCCACAGAAGTTGAACATGAATACATCAACAAGCTCCAGAGTAA